TCACTTTTTTGGGGATTTTTGGGGAAACTGCCTCACTATTTCTCTTACTCTTTGATACTTTTTGCACACCCTCCACCAAATGATAGAAAAATGATAAGGTAGTTTGGAGGCAGTTTTGGAGGCAGTTTTGAGGCAGTTTTGAGGCAGTTTGAAAAAACTGATGTAGTTTCAATTTGGCTAAGACAAAAAAAACTGTCTAAGACAAATATTTTTTGTCTAAGACAACTTTTTTTTGTCTAAGACAAATTTTCAAAATTTGTCTTGGACAAAAAAAAGTTATCTTAGAAAAAAAAAGTCTACCTAATAGTCAGATTTCTACAGAATAGGGATTAGACAAATTTTTGTCTTAGCCAGTCTATTGGGTTGTGACTGTTGCACAGCCCTTTCAGTTTCAAGCTCGGTCACGCTGCGCTACTTGTTAGCCATGCCTGTCAAATATGGGCTCGGTGCTGCGGTGGATTATGAGGACAGCAATGGCAGCACACATCGCCTTTTTGTCTATGGGATTGCGTTAGATGGAAAATATCTACTTTCCCGAAGCGCCTAGGTTGCACTTTAAGTTGTGCACCCTGTTCCTTGACTGTTTCGAATGGATTGAGTTGATGGGTACTGATGGATATAGATGGGGCATATAGTTTTAATGCGGCCAACAAGACGGGGTTTGTTACTCAAGTATTCGGGGATCATTGTCTAATGAGTGGGAGTCCTAATAGGTAACATATATTTTTTTGACACTTGGTTTCTGTTGGCGAATAGCATGGAATTGATAAGGTTTAAGACCCGAGTAGTTGCCCTTCCTCTGCAAGGCTCAAAGGTGCCCCCCCCAAACCAAAAAGTTTTTAAATGACGAAGTATTCACCAACAACCCATAGTAGAGGGTAATAATCATCTACTATTTGGATCTAGTTGGGATTGTCAGCTTTTAGGAGGTTGACTGAATCCTCAAGATTTTTCGGTGATCTGCCGGCCCATGCTTGGAGGTGTTCACCGTCAACCAGACTGTGAGTCGTGGATCCCAGAGAGCCGGTTGAAGGCGCCGCTCACATCGTTCCCCAAACAGTGTGCCACACCTGGGGTTCTTACGGCCGGCATCTTCCCTGTCAATTTCTAGGAGCTTGCGAAGAGATCTTGCCACGGAGACATCCTGTAGAGATCTTGTATAGAGGGCTCTTAGAGACACCTTGTGCAGAGATCGCCAAGAGGCATCTTCCAGGTCTTGCCAGGAGAGCTCGTATAGAGAGCTTGTACAGAGATCTTGCCAAGAGACCTCTTATAGAGATCTTGCACAGAGATCTTACCATGAAATCTCTTATAGAGTTCTTGTACAGAGGCTCGGTGAGGAAAGTAAAGTCTTGCTCGGAGATCGTTGATAGCTAGCTTGATCAGCGATCTTATTTTGAGATCCCTTACAAAGATTTTTCCGTGGAGATCTCCTGTAGACACCTTGTACAGTCGACCTTCGCGGAGATCTTGCACAGCAGCTTCTACAGAGAACCTGTCAAGGAGATCTTGCGCACGATCTTGTATGGAGATCTTCACAAAGGTAACTTGCAACACAATGCTTTCACTACTAGGGTCGCTCTTGTCCTGCTAGCTTGTGGCCAATTTTTTTAAAGACCCTTTCCACCTTCCCCTTTCGAATCGTAACTACGCACTGTTTGGGGTCTGCATTCTTCCGGCAGGCGGTGCCAGACAGTGCTTGTGAGACACCTGGCTTCGCTGGCTTCGCTGGCTTCGCTGGCCTCTGACTACAGGGTTCCTGATCGGCAGTCAGCTCGTATTCATATGCTATGCTGCTATGTTTCATGCAACCGAATGTGTTGTCATTATGGCGTAGAAGCAAACTCACAGTTCCCCCTTTGAACCGGACTAAGCGACAAACTAAGCTCAGAGTTGCACACCTGATGGCTGATGCTTGTCAATCAATTTCTCTTGATGGATTTTTGCGTTTCTTGTAGGTTCTTGTTGCGAGCTAATGTTTGCCATTGGGTTGTACCATCACTTTCTTGGGTGCAACACGTGCACGAAGATTTTCAAATTATTGCTAGTTGATTCGCATGGACATTCTCACGTTTTGCCAGTTTCACCTCCCATGTGTGATTTCCTCTTCCAGTCTTTGGTTAGATCAAGCCTGCAATGATTTGATTTCCAGTTGACTTTCACTTCGCCCTCCATGCAGGATTTCAATGAGATCCGAAGCAACCGAACTCTTGTTCCATCATCTTGTTCGGCGCCTCGGCTGCTTGAAATATTCAGGGCAGCCCAAAATGGAATGTTGAAGAAAACATTAAGTAGTGTGTTACCATATTCGTGCGCGAATATGCTAACACGGGTTTGTTAACAAGTTAACATGATTTGTCTTCTAAATGGCGAGTCGGGCGTCGGACGCAGCTAATTGCTGGCTCACCACAATGAACAATTGATGGTTACATGGGGTTCTGGTGAATGGCGTGCTTTGGGAGTTTACTAGGCAAGGGAATTGCATAAAGAAAAAGCTCATATAGATAGATGGATGGATGGATAGATAGATAGATAGATGGATGGATAGGTAGATAGATTGATAGATATGAATCAATGTTGCGAATCAGTTAATATGTTGCCGACCAAGTGTGAGAAGAAATGCTAGGTAATATGGTTCGTAAAAAACAACAACAGCACAACGAAGTAAAATAACAGCGTAACAATGTGTATACGGCAAAGAACCTCCAGGTTAACCCTTGCAAAAGCAACACTCCTGCATGTCAACGTGCAAAAGCACAGCTGTCCTGCAGCTTGAGGCCCAGCATTGTGTCAGGAGCTAAAGCATCACAGACAAAAGGCATCCCTCCCATAGAGAGCAAGCAAATACTCATAGCAGAACAATGCACAGCATGAAGCCTCCAGGTTAACCCTTTGGTTCACCTGGAACTTCATGTGGTAGTGGAGCAGCACTGCTGAGTGCAAGCGTGCACAAGCAGAGTTGTCCTGCAGCTTGAGGCCCAGCAGTGTGTCAGGAGCCACAGCATCACAGACAAAAAGGCATCCCTCCCATAGAGAGCAAGCAAATACTCATAGCAGAACAATGCACAGCATGAAGCCTCCAGGTTAACCCTTGGGTTCACCTGGAACTTCATGTGGTAGTGGAGCAGCACTGCTGAGTGCAAGCGTGCACAAGCAGAGTTGTCCTGCAGCTTGAGGCCCAGCAGTGTGTCAGGAGCCACAGCATCACAGACAAAAGGGCATCCCTCCCATAGAGAGCAAGCAAATACTCATAGCAGAACAATGCACAGCATGAAGCCTCCAGGTTAACCCTTGGGTTCACCTGGAACTTCATGTGGTAGTGGAGCAGCACTGCTGAGTGCAAGCGTGCACAAGCAGAGTTGTCCTGCAGCTTGAGGCCCAGCAGTGTGTCAGGAGCCACAGCATCACAGACAAAAAGGCATCCCTCCCATAGAGAGCAAGCAAATACTCATAGCAGAACAATGCACAGCATGAAGCCTCCAGGTCAACCCTTGGGTTCACCTGGAACTTTATGTGGTAGTGGAGCAGCACTGCTGAGTGCAAGCGTGCACAAGCAGAGTTGTCCTGCAGCTTGAGGCCCAGCAGTGTGTCAGGAGCCACAGCATCACAGACAAAAGGGCATCCCTCCCATAGAGAGCAAGCAAATACTCATAGCAGAACAATGCACAGCATGAAGCCTCCAGGTTAACCCTTGGGTTCACCTGGAACTTCATGTGGTAGTGGAGCAGCACTGCTGAGCATCCAAAGACAAGGACACTTGCCATGAAGAGCGCATGTTGAAATTGCATAGTAGCAGCGCCGAGTCTGAGTCAGCAATTTGTTTTCTTTGAATGACCAATCCTGTGGTTTCTGATATGCAGGGCGTGGACTCGAATTACTAAGCAATGCTTCATCAATTCTCTATGCATCTCATCGTTTACGGTGGAAACGCAATATTGTTGCGAATGGCGTCGCCAGCAACGGCTTTGCAGGTGGCAGGTGGCGGTGACCAAGCGCCCTATGATATGGTAGATAAGCTGCTGCAGGCAAGATCGCGGGGCTGCAGTCCATTGCCTTTGCAAAACTCATGGTGCGTAGTAAGTACAGACAGTTCGGTAGATAAGAGGTGGGAAAAGGACAAAGCTACCAATGTCGCCGCAAGACTGCAATGCTGTCGCTCGCATCGCCGCAGCAACTTCGCCTCTAGCGTTTTGTCGCAACTTCGCTTACTTCGCCTCCAACACTTGGGTTGCCATGATGCCTTTTGATCCTCTCGGATTGGCAGCTGAGGGTGTGCGCAACTTGGGGTGCTACCATGGCGCGGCATTGTTGCTGCATATGTGTCGTAAGCCATCCCGATGTGCCTCGGCCGCAAACATCGGTGCTGCTAAGTAAAGATACATTCTGTCTATGTCATGGACTGGGATGTGCCGTTCCTTTTTCGTTCAGCTCCCACCGCTTGCATGCCCAGGTGCTGACGAAAGCATGAAGTTTAACCAACGAGGCCACATTGAAGGCCTGTTGTTTGCACATGGCATCTCTTGATGGCAGCTACTGAGGCATGATTCATGATGTTGAAAACATGAACTGTATAGCCATTGTTCCGGGTTCGCCAAAATAGGGTGCAAGGTGACAATTGCTTTTAAGTTTGAAAGCTGTGTGAAGGACGGTGGGGGCCTCTGGTATGGCGAGGAGATGTGGATTGCGTGGAGACGGGCTGGTGTCATTAACTTAAGAAACGTGAGCGGGTAGCAAAGTCTCAAAGCGGCAAATGACTAGACGTTGCTTCATGTGCGGTATAGGCGATGGTCCTTGCCTGAGTGCCCCAAGCAGCCGCACTCAGGCCAATATTTAATGGTTGCAGTGGTTGATCGATTGCGCCGGAAGCAAGACGAGCATGCGTCTTGGTGACCCTTGGTTTAGAACCTCATGGATTAACATGGGCTGCCCGAAGCTGACGGTGCTTGTGTGTGTTTGTTCTGTGTGTGCTGCACTGCTAGACCCATCCAGGCAGATACTTTATGGAATCCATTCGGAAGCGTCTGGAGCACGAGTGCGATCATGAATGCCGTGAGCAAGGACGCTGTCCCTTGGACGCATATGATATGCCTTCCGCCTGCCAAACTTCTGTCTGCCTTGCCTGGGGCTTGCCTGCCCGTGGCGCTTCTTCAGGGAAGCGTTTCTGCATTGGGAAGCGCTGGGAGTGCGAGATTGCTTGCGAGAAGAGTGCGACGACTGGCTTGTGGCAGAATACTCGTTGGTGTCAGTGGCCCTAGCTTTGTGCCATACAGATTTTGTTCCTGTATAACACTTGTAAACAAAGTTTCTTCCTATGAGTGGCCCTTACCTTCGAATTCTGTGTTGTTTGTTGCAGGTGATGGCCTCGTCCAGAAAATTACCTCCCGGCTCTGTTCGACGGCCCGGCTGCCAACGTCCTGTTCTCACTCTTGGCGTCGCCTGGCGCGACCTGTCTTCTACAGGAGGTTTCATGGATGGCGCTTTGCCTGCACGTAGAGAGGAAAAACGTAGAAATTCCAGCGGTTCATGCTGGTCCATTGGCAAGCAAACTGTCCTCCACCCAGGGGCCCTGGCAAGAAGGCGGATGACAGCAGCCTCCCTAAGTCCCTTGGTCCAACTAATTTACACGGTGCTTGCAAAACTTGAGTAGAACACAAGAGCTTCTGTCTACTAAAAAACACCAAAGAAGCAAGTAGTATTCAATCCGCCAGTGTGTCAGGACAGGCTGCGATGAGTCGGATAAGAAGCTTGGCAGCAAGTATAACTTCAATATGATGGATGCATGACTTGTCCTTGTGGCTCACCTTTGTTTGCTACACATTGTCTGCGACGCAGGTGCTTTGCCATGGATGCCCTCCTGCCACTTAGCTTCAAACAGTGCCATCCAGGCTTGGAACAACAGTTTAGCTGCTTCTGCTTGCCAGTCTTCATGAGGTCACAGCAAGGAGCCGCATACAGCAGATTGCGGGAGTATCTTTTTTGCAGTGATGTATGGAACAAAGAAACATTGCCACATGCAAGTGCAAAATACGACGTGGTCGATAAAATTCCGCATTCGAGGCCGGGCATTACCAAGCGTCAGCGGCGACGTCGCTACGAAGACGTGTATTGGACCAATGTCCATGTCAATGCCATCAAATCCCGGACTCGGAGATTGAAGCGCATGGACAAGGCCGCAGACGCAATCTTCGATGAGTACGCAGAACTTGTTGCTCAAGAACGTCTCCATTGCCTCTTAGATGCAAAGAAGGTCCTTCATGTCAGTGCTCCGGTTAGCGTCTATGTGACGATGTCATGGCTCCCTTCAGGTCCGCGTGAGAAGGCGCAGCCAGCGCGTGGCAAGTTGTCTGACTTCAAGCTACCGATGCTATGTAGCTGCAGTGATGGCATGTTGTTTTCAGGTTCATTGTTCAAGTTCTTTGTTCGCACCATTCTACAAACACAGGTAAACGCAGGCGGTGTTGGCATATTGGACAGGACTTTGTGGAAGCTGATAAACACAAACAATTATCAACCCGGTAACAGCAACCACTCACAAAAAGGACATCATTGGATTAAGGGTAGTTGGAAGATCGTAGATGAGTGCAATCCCAGGAAAAAAGCTTCGGTCGAAATGCCCTTCAAGGACACCTGCCTGGTGGACGCCTTCCGCTCCATTGGTATCAAGGTACCTTATACGGGCCCCGGTCCATTCTGGGCCGTGTCTGACGGAGCCAAAATGTTGGAGCCTTTGGGGCAGCTTGGCGGCCATTGGAGCATGTTGTCGGGATTATTCAGTCGAGCAATGCAGGTTTGCTTAATTGTCGTCCCTGCATCAGGTATATTATTACTATGCTCAGGGTAGCCCCGTCGGTGCTTCCAACTGGGAAGTACGTGCTGTATCGCCGCAATCATTTCCAAGGCTTCCGGGCCTTTTCTGATGGCACTTGTCGGTTGCAAACGTCGTGCAGATGCCACATCGGCATTGATTGTGACGCCAATAAGTTCGATACGAGCTCATTCGAGGCCATCTTCCAGGTCATCCCCCTGCGGGCTGACAGAGCGGTTGATGCCTGCTCGCCCATCGATTTCCAGGGCGGAGCCCTAACGCAACCTACTTCGGATGCATCTAGCACTAGCACGTTGTTTGAGCAGCCAAATTTCCTGGACAGTGAGTTTTCCAGTCCCAGATCCTTGGTTGGCTCCAAGCCTGTCTCAGTGCCAATCTTCATGCTTTTCCCAGATTTCCTGGAAAGTCGCATTGCTGCCTTTGAAGGGCTGTGTGCTGACTACATAGCGCTGTTGACAGCCAAGCCGGAATTGTGGACCCGCATCCCATGTCCATTCCTCCACACGTCTCAGTCAGAATGGAACAGCTGCCTGTCATCCACCCGCAGCTTGTTCTGTAGCAATTTGATATCCGAAGTGGGCTCAGTGGAGGAAAGCCGCGTGAGCAAGAGATTGCGCTTGTATATTACGCTGCTGCGCCAGAATCGGCACCAAATTGCCAGCGGCGGTGTCAGCTTGAAGGCCATCCCCAACCCATGCGACCACAATGTCAGCAAAAGGCAGTGGGAAAGGGCTTGCAAACACTGGCGGCAAGATGCGCGGGGCGGATCTGAGGTGGAAATTTTGGGGCGGGAGCAGAATCCAAATTGTATCTTGCAGGACAGTGCCCTAATTCACGCCATTTTTCATCGCAACGCGATTCCAGCTGGATGCTTGCAGGCCGCATCTCACATTGCCGCTAGCCAGACAGACCCAGTAGGCGCATTGGAGATGCTCCGGTCAGCCCCTGATCGAAAGCTGCCAGACCATGAAGGCCTACGGCCCATCCATCATACCATGTGCACAGATTCCAGCCAACAGTTCGGCACGCTCCAGGTTTTGATCTGGTTCGGTGCAGATGTTTTGAGCCAGCATTTCCCCGGTGATTCTGGATTTTCCTTGGCCCCGCCTGGGCTATGCATAGCTGTCTGCATGGATGAGTGCTGGTATAGGCTGCCCATGTTTGAGGTGTTGGCGCGGCACACGGAGGAACTAGTGGATTTGTGTGGGCGTTCTGCTTTGTGGAACACTTGCAAGATCATGAGACAGCAAAGCTTCATGTTCCCATTGGCCGACGATGTTGAAGGCGGTAGTGAAATTGTCTCGTTCCAGATGGCTTGCACAGGAGTGACGGTTTGTGCCTTGTTCGTATCAGATGACGACACCATCCTGACCTTAAAGCAGCAGGTTGCCTTGCATCTAGGGCACCTTCCCTTCGCTGTTGTTTTTCTGGTGGACAATGAAGTTGTTCCATTTGCGCAGACATGGGCCAGAGCTGGATCCCCGCCACTTATGCACGTGATTCTTAAACCCAGGACCAACTGTCACAGACTTGCCTTATCAAAAGCCATCCAAGCGCAAAACCACAATACAGTGATCGACCTCCTCAGTAATGGCCAAGAGCCAGATTGCATGGGCTTGATCGACCGCACTCGCCGCTTAGAGCCAGTATTGGTGACTGCAGCTTCAGCCGGCTTCTTCTATTCTGCATTTTTGCTCCTCAATGCATGGGCAGACCCTAATATTGCTGGCAATGACCGCCGGACTTCCTTGCATTTTGCCGTTCTCACACATTCGCCAATGACTGTGCAGGTTTTGCTGGCTGGAAGGGCTGATGTGCATGTGAGGGATTTGCATGGCGAAACCGCTTTACATTTTGCTGCCATCAGCGAGAACGTGGCTTTCGTGAAACAGCTGATCATGGCAGGGGCTGACCCTTTGACTCCCAATGAGGAAGGAGATGTCCCGCTACTTTGGGGCCGTGAAGTGGACACTAAGGGTGCCCTTTTGGAAGGCTGTTGGCATGACATGTCGTATACCATGCTCTTTCTCTTAAACTTGCGAACCTTGTCAGCCTATACAACTTGCAGGCCATTGGAAAAGCTTTGCAAGTGCATGCGCAAGCTGCTCTGTGAATATGTCTTGCACGATGAAGCTGACTTCCAAGGAGGGGCCGAGTCAAACGCACCAACGGAGCGCCTTTTGCACTTGTACTTGTTTCGCAATCCGCTCCCTGCAGATCGGCCCCGGGTGTGGCATCAATTGCAATTGTTTCAGTTATATGTGGAGCCTCTCCAGCCCACATTGCAGAAATTCCCGAGATTGTTTTGGATTTTGCCGGTGCCATTTGATGTCTCGCAAAGCAAGGAACAGTGGAAGGTGAAGCTGTTTGCTGCCTCCACGTTTTTGAATTTGCTGCAGAAGGGCGAAGTCGTGAAGCTGGAGGGTGCCCTCATCACCTGGTTTTGGCCAGAAATTTTGCAGGACATGTCCTTATTGGACATTCTTAGCACAAGGAACACATCATCCAGCGCACGTTCTAGAGCGAGGCAGCTATCTACTGCTGTCCTCTTCTTCTCAGTGCTGGCCACACCTTTGCCGCAGACCACCCCAAAGAAATTGAGTTCAATGGGGACAAACATCTGTCATCGTTGGGTTCTTCTGCAAAGATTTTTGCTCAGCAACAACCACCGCAAACCCAAGAGAGAGCAGCCTAGAGGAAATCCCGTTTTGTTGCTGTCAGCAGCCCTGCGGCAGGAACTTGCACGACCCGCAAATTTTGAGGATAGGCAAGGTGGCGCAGAAGATGTGAGCCAAGGTGGCACAGAAGATGTGACCCGCCGAATCTTGGAGAACAGGGGCGTGGCCCGTTCCCGCAAAATGCTGAAGTTGGTGCAATGGTCGCATGGACTTGGAATGGAGTTGCCGTTGCGGGGAGACAGCGTGGATGCTATGGTTCCCTATCGTCACGAACATTTTGCTCCCTGCGTAGACATCACAACTCTGGCATGGCTTCACCCCCATGACAGAGACCGTCACGTTCGGTTCGAGTCTGAAGGCCACGTGTATTACATCCGTGGCAAGCAGACCAATGGATCTGTGACTGGGTTGATCCATGCCTTGGCACGACCATTCGATGCCGACGAAGTAATTTCCAATATGATGGCAGGTGACAGATGGCCTCGCGCAGGCTATTTGCGACCATTCTTAGGAGAGACTGTATTGAAGCGCGTCCGCCAAGTTGATGCAGACCTTGTGCTTGCTCTCCTGGACTCCCCCCGCAATGATACATGGATCTCCAACCGGCTCCAGAGCCTGCGGACGAACTTTCCAGAGATTGTCCAGAGTCTGGTATTTGGCCCGCATGAAATCAAGCGCATGTGGGAAGCCAACCGAATTGATGCTGCTCTTCGAGGCACCCACATGCATTTTTGGTTTGGAGCGCATGTGAATGGATATGTGGTGCCAAAAACAAGTCCAGAATTCTCGATGCTTGAAACCTTCTTACAAGACATGCAAGGGTGGCGCGCCTTCCGCACGGAATGGGTTATTTTTGGTGAGGAAGAGAACATTGCTGGGTCAATCGATCTCACTGCACAAAACCCAAATGGGCAGTTGGCACTGATTGACTGGAAGCGGACCTCCAGCCTAGCATCGAAATTCTCTTCGCCGTGGACGATGCTACCGCCTTTAGATCATGTTCCGGACTGTGCTGGGTGGCATTACCGGCTCCAACTGAACATTTACAGGTATATTGTGGAGAAATACTACGGCTTTGAGGTGGCTATGATGCTAGTGGTTTGCACCCACCCCGACCAACAATTGCGGCCTTTCATCGACCATGTGCCGCGTCTCGACAAGGAGATTGAAGTCGTGATGAGTTTGCGGCGGGACAAAGCACATGCTGTTGATGTGTCTGGAGGATCAGATTTTGAGGAACAACTTGAGAAAGAAATGGATTGGCTGAATGAGCAGGCGAAAGCCGAGGAGGCGGCTAGTAGGAGAGATGGGAGGGGTGGGCCAGAGGGACCGGAAGAAGCACAGCAACCTGAAGGACTTGCAAGTCAAGCTCTTGAGGATGATGGAGCAAACCCACTGCCAGAAGTAGATGATGCAAATCTGAGACAATGCAAGAAGCGCCGCTTGCTTCCTGGAGCTGCTCAGTCCATGCCGAAGTTTCAGAAAGAATTTGACAGCTTGCGGGCTGCTGCAAATACATCTCTGCAGCAGGCGTCAATCAAAAAGCCTGAGCAGAGCCATTCCCTTTTGCAACAGAGCAGCTACATGATCAAGCAGGTGCGTGCTCGCAAGCCACAATGGCCTGAGCAGCTTGTGCGCTTGGTGGCGTGCGCTTGCGTTTTGCCCCACATGCGGCTCTGCGATGCCTACCTCCGGGAACATATTTACTTGATCTGGCTGATGGAAGGTGGCCGCTACCTTCGTGTCCACAACGGACAATGCTTTCTGTACCATGATTGCGGGGCTTTCCAAGTCTTTCGCGGAAGCCCGCCGGAACAAACAGTTGCCCGGATCAAAGAGTTCATACTTCAAGTCGAAGGGTTTTTTCGAAGCATCCAAGGAGCAGTAGATCGAACACAGGAGAGTATAGTGCAAATGGTAGAAGGCATGGGAGGCAGATGCGAATGGAGATATAAAGGTGCTACTTGACAAGTGGATATCTGCCGCGCTCTTCATGAAGCAGCTTCCGCGCGGCCGCAGAGCGCCTCAATTTGATGAAGTTGATGATGCGGAACCAGAAGCGGCGGCAACTGGTGATGCAGGAGGGTGGACCCAATCCATTGCTATCGCCCTAAGCAAGTTGAGCGTAACCCTGCAAAAGGAAGTCATGGATGATAAGATATATGGTCTCATGATTGAATGGTGTGAAACGCCTTGCCAGAAGCAAGCTGGCTGTGCGTACAAAGATATATGCGTTGTGTATGATTCAAATGAAGAGAATGTGGAATTTGTGCAGCCAAGCCACGACAACAACCTCTACACATTGATCCCGCATGCCTTAAAGCCTTCTTTGCCGGATCCCGTCCTCCAAGCTGCGAGCTGCCGTTTGGAGAAGTTTTTCCGCGAGACCTTTTGGCGGAACTTCGATGTCTTTTTGTGCTGTCAGGCAGCCCAAGCCATCGCGAAAAGGGGTGAGAATATTGACCGATGCTTCATTGGTGAGAGCCCCGGTGGAGTAGGCCAATCTTTATACAGTTCTCACTTGAATGCGGTTTATGGACACAATCACGCATTCATTGACCCTAATATTTGGTACGATGAGCAAGAGCTCCGGAAGCAGATTGAGCAATTTGCAGGCTGCTTTATCTTAACAGCGCAGGAGGCGCCTGAAACTTCACGCCGAATGCGGGAAGACTTGTACAAAAAGACAATGAGTGCAGATGGCATGGCTGGGAGGCGGCCGTACGGGTATGTCACCCGCATGATTGAACTTACCGGATGGAAGAGGATGGAGGTCAATCGTCTGATGCAGTTCAAGGGTGTATCTGAGCATAACTTCCCATCAATCCTGCGGCGCAGTTTCCTTTGGCGTCCGCACGCTCGATTTGTATGTCCGCAATACTTGGAAGAGCATTACACAGATGCGGCGCTGGATGGGTACTTTCCAAAAGATCCAACTTTGAAGGAGTTCCTTGTCTCAGGACCAGCAATCGCCAGCAGCATGCAGCTGCAGCACGCGTTTGAACATACATACTCACGAGCTGAATGCATACATATGATAGAATCATATTGCAATTTGGGTGGTGATCAGGGATTGACAGAGGACAAAATGCGAATCGCTTGTGGGCTCCCACCGCGTCAGCGTGCCGAGATCGCTGCTCCTGGGCTAGGCCCTGTGGATGATCAACTAAGCCAGGATCAAGCAGAAAGTGTAAAAACAGGTTCTGAAGCAGTGGCCCGCCGCATTGTGGAGGAATGTCTTTCAAAGGGGTTCTTCATGTTCACATTGCAACAGTTCAAGACCATGTCTCTGCCTTCGAATGCACCCAATTTAGACAAAGAGAGCATGTTGACACAGCTACAAGAGCATTTATTGGTAAAGCAAATAGCAAGAAAGCGCGGCAAAGGAAAGCAGATCATTGTTCCATGCGTCCTGGGGCAAGGCAGTTTGCAGGATGTCTTTGATCTGAAAAGCTCAAACGACACGGCACTAGTATTCCCCGAAATGTGGCACACAAGTTGCTTGCGGGACTTTGCTTCCAAACATCTTGCCAGAGAACACAATGTCGTCACTATGATAGCATTCTTGGATGCCAGCATTGCTGCATTGAAGAGGAAAGGCTCCGGAAAGTTAACGTCTGAGGTCAAGCTCAGACACGATGCGTTGGTCGAAAGGAGGCGTAAGTTGGAAGCCAACGAGCAGTTGATTGGGAAGCTCCTCGCTGCTGCTGGTGGTGAGGCTGGTGACCTGGAAGGGCAGGCTAGCAGTCACAGATGCACAGGGAAGCAGCAATTGCGACATAGCAAGACAAAGTACAGACAAGGCTCAGATTTGATCCGTGGACGAAGGTATGCTTGTCAGCCAGGAGCACAGCAATGCTCTCGGAAACTTCTCAGGTTCTTGTGCCCTCAATCTATTGACTTAGCTTCTTGGATTGGAAAGGAAGCTTTCGCATTGTTTTTCTCCTGGGTTTCTCTTGCTTATGATTCTTACCCCTGAAAGTTAAACCTTTGTTAGCTTTGTAAAAGTGGAAGCCAAGGACATTGAAAATGCCTTTTTCACGTTGATGTCACAGCTCATCCATAAATTGGATCCTGTGTTCAAGATGCCGGATGATGCCGCAAAAGCATTGAAAAGATGCGCTGAGGCACGCAGTGATGTGATCAAGGAGCTAGGTTTGCCAGCTGCGGAAGGGAAGAAAGTTTTGCTTGAAGTCATAAACGGTGGCGGTCCGCCTAGCCGTCTGTCGGAACATGATGTAATTGTTGGGCTTCGGAAAGCTGCCATCTGGATTAAATGGCTTGCAATTTCAAATTTTCCCGATCTCTACAGCCACTGTGATGCAGACAGAAGCAAGCCATCGCCAGACAACTCCATGATAGCATACTTGTACCAAGCTGTTGAAGATCTAGTTTTGTCTAGCTGGGTGCAATTCCTCATGACGCAAGATCTCGTGCATTTATCCCTTCACTTCGACGGTTGCCGAATTCAGGGTCGAGCGCTTGACACGGCTTCAATGTGTCAAGAGTCTTCGGAGTGGATTGCCAAAGAGACTGGGTTTCAGGTGGTTGTGAAGCAGAAGAAGCACCTGCTTCTCGCGGAGCTGTTGGGAAGGGATGGGCGTGTTTGCGATACTCTGTCACTTTCTTCCAGCTTCGACTACTCTGCAAATGGCATTCTTACATGCCTGGCCTACATTGCAGACCTCTGGTCACCATTGGACGCATGGCTACAGGAACATAAGGCAAACATTGAAGGAGGTCAAACACATCGTTCATATAAAGAATGTTTCAAAGCTGCAGATGTTGCCTTCTCAGTAGACATTGGTTTCTGTGCTGAGAAGACGGGGAAGTACCTACTCCATTGTGAGCACAATGGATCTCCGCTCGTCCTTGGATGTGTAATGGCCGAAGAAACTTGCAAAGTGTTAGTCCGGGACACAGTATATGCGCTATCAGCAGATGCTTTCAAGGCATGTGCTGAGGAGTCAATTGATTATGCCTCCCTAGTGACATTTCGCATGCTGAAAGCAGGCGAAAAACCCCGGCAAGAATCTGAAGTTCTTCTGGAACTGCAGGCCGGCTTCGATCTATCTGGCGGTGCTGAGTTGGAGATGTTGTGTGAGTGCGAAGGATTGCTGGAGAATTCTGATGATGAAGGCATGGCCGGATCACATGTTGATGAATCAATAGTGCAGGTGGGCGAAGAGTTGCTGGCGTTGCTCGCAGAAGAAAGAGGTGAAGTCCTAGATAGCACTGAGACTGTGCATGAAGGCAGTATGCACCGTTGTCCGTTCTGTCCGTTCCGGCAATTCCCTCGACCTTCTCGTGTGATGGAGCATGTGCAAAAGTATCATACAACGAAACGACAATTCTGTTGCAGTGGCACCAAGCAAGTCAGAGTCATTCAGGCTTTGTTTGACGATGACCAGCTCCGCAATATACAGCCAAGTGCTCGCTACCTCCGCAGGAGCGCCGCCGTGTTGCGAACATCAATTGGGAATGAGGATGGAAGCATCAATCACCTTGATCGTCGATTACGCTTGGTCTTGACGGAGAAGGGCCCCGTGTACAAAAGCTTGCAACACGTTGCTGAGAACGAAACAGTGTACCGTCGAGCCAAGAACTTGTATTACACGCATGGATTTGCAGATATGCTTTTCCAAGAGATGATGGTTAGCAATGCAAAAATGAAGCAAGCATCTCGACTGAAGCTTGTAGACATGTATCCCTTGGATGCACTCTTTGTTGCTCCTTTAAATTGTGACATTGACTGTTTTTGTTACAAGCGATAACCCCTGTTGATTCTAAGGCGGCTAGCCGGTTGGCTTTGAGACTCGCAGCAAGTGGCAGCAAGCTCACGGGCCTCTTGCCTCAGCATGTTCGACACTGGTGGCCGCTCGTGGAGGACATCTTCTACTCCGACGCCGTGAACCAGCTGTTCGCCCAATCTATGGCAGAAGCGGTTCACCATACGGAATTTGAATCCGTCAGTGTGGATGCAACCCTGAAGTGTTGCCTCTCCATTCTCGGCCAGAGTTCCTACAGAGCAGGGCCGCAGGAACGAGCCAGCGCTGCTTTCACGGGGAAAGATTGCTTTCGCAAGGTGCCCGGGCTGTTTGTTAGCCTCCTTTTAGACAAAAGCCAAAGGTGTCAAGTTTAAACTAAATTTGTTTGCTTCATTCTCAGAAACCATCTGCCTGGCAGGTTCTGACAGTCCGTGGGCGAACCGGCTGTGTACTGCTCATGGCTCCAACGCCAAATGAGGAGGCACCCGCCATTGCCGAGCGCATTGCTGAGTCGTTGCCTGAAGATGGACTCCGGCAAACACGGATTGTGTGCACGGATGATCCTTCTGCGCATTTGTTGTCGACATTGCGCAATGTCATGCCAAAGCTGGAGCTGCTATGCTTGGACCCTGTCCACCTATGCATGACTTTTGAGTATGGGACGTACAGAAGAAGAACAAAGGCGTCAACCTGAGTGAGTTGCCTGAAGATGGACTCCGTTCGCAAACACGGACGTCGGAACATCCTTCTGCGCAGTCGACATTGCGGTCATGAAGCTGGAGCTGCCAAATGCAGAGTATCGTCGTCCATGTTGAGATGCATGCCGTGGGATGTCAGCCTACAACTCCAGGCCTTTCAACGGCATTCAGGATGTTTCGTTCGATCACATCACCAAGACACGTCGAGAACAGATTCTGAGTGGAGGAATGGGAAAGGCCAAAGCAGAATCTCTCCTTGACAGCCTGGATGCTGCGAAGCCTTGGCAATGCGAACGGGATTGCGTTGAGGCCATGGCAGCATTTGTCCGATGTTTTCCGGACGATGTAGACAAAATCATTCCCGGTCCGAACCGGTCTGGACGGCAAGTGCTGTACACTGCCTGCGCGCCTGCGAGGATGCAATGGTATTTCAACAACATCCGGGCGCGCCATAGTATGCGGCCAGATCGAGTTGTATTACTTCCTGCTGGTACCACTTCCAACGAGGCACTGCATGCTGAAGTACGAGCTTGGTTCCGAGAGACGCAGCAGATGCATAAGAGCACATTGGAAATCAAACTGCGGGTGCTTCACCTGTCCAAACTGATGACCCACCATGCGGGCATGTACAGACCAACTTTGCGGCAAATTCCGTCGGGCCTGGTGCTGGCTAGATCTGTTGTCTCTTCTGCCTGGAATCGACGAAAGCCCTGGAGCAAATTTGCCGGACAGAGTGGCAAGGCTCATTTGCCTCTCAATGAGAGACGGCAGCAAGAAGCATCATTAGTCAAGGCGCATGCTTCCAAAAAACCGGCTGCCAATATCAAAAGACCAGCGGCCATGAGGCATTGCGCAAAAAAGCCAGCCACGCACGTCCTCCCGCAGAAAGTGCGCAGGACTCCCTTTAACAGAGTAAGAGTGTCCACTTGCCGTATCATGGGCAAAAAAAGGCAAGGAGGTTTGAAAGCCTAGGCCTTTGAGTTATTGGATGCTTGCACTTGACCGATCTCTGCGCAGAAAAAGGTTCAAGTCGGCGCGCGCCCTGCCAGATGACGCTGTGGGACTTGTCAAAGACAACATGTTCCGATTGTATTAAAAGCATTTTCAGAACATCAAGCTACTCCGTCAGGCTTGTTCTTGCGGCCTTCGATCTCTCAAACTCTTCTCAAGGCAAGAAATTTGGAAGGGCACGGGGGTCAGAAGGTTTCTTTGAGTAGCACAGGTAAACCTGAAACATGAACCCTTCTCTTAGTATTTTTCCTAGCTGGAAGACCATGGTCAACTTCGGAAAGCAGGACATGAGGCGGTATGATGATGTTGGCCTGGTTCTTCTTATGTCTCCGCACTGGTTGTGATGTGAGAAGAGTGTGTCAAGTCTCGGGCTTGAGGGCTGTCAACAAGAAGGGCTGTCAAGATTCAGGGATGTCAAGGGCAAACCGGATCAAGAGAAAGTGCGGCATTATCAGACAAGACTGTCGAGAAAAAAATATCAAGGAGAAAGAGTTCCAAGAGATCACGCAGGCAACGGCCGTGACAACCAGGCGGCCAGGAGTCGCTCTTATAGGTTATCCCTTTTCTTTATAGACTTCTTACTTTTGTCTTTCGAAACTTCCGTCACCCGGCTTGCCCGGGCCTTACTAAGTTTTCACGGGGAATAGTCTGAAACAATATTTTCCAGCGGGTTCATGTCATGGCATAGCCTCCTCAGGGAGACGAGTCGGCATGGGAGCACCACTGGCGCCCCTGGTCAAGGGGGTGGGGCAAGTGGCGCCTCGATTGCAATTCTTGTGGATGTCGTTGCCACTTTGTTTTGAGCGTTCTCCACTGGTAGAAAGGCGTGTTCATGTCTTGTCCGCCGGTGGGCGACATTGAGCAAAAAAAAATCAACTATTTTGGATATATGATATATTGTAAAGATGACTATATCGAACATTGCGCGTTGCAAACGCTATTTTCCCATATTTGGTTAGCCCTCTTGCAAGAATATTGTTTGAAACTTGAGGGACCGATGGGGACCATACGGGAAGAAAGATGCTTGTCCGCCAGAGTGCACGTGCAGCAGTGATTTCGTGATTTCTTTGTCACATTCACGATGTTTCTTGTGTTGCAGCACATGGCTTCTATTGGATCCCCGATGCTTACCCCTGGCTGAGAACCCGGGGGTCCAGCCCAAAAAAATAGCCAGGGGGTACCTTGAGTATCTTGTACCAAATTTTTATCCCAGTAGCTGTTTCTTATATTTTGGGGTTGTATCGGAATTTTATTCGCCGGATACCTTTACTCTCAAATATAAAAATTCTACATGCTCTTGACTGTCAGTCCCACGGAATTTTATCCAGGAGGGATTTTGGTACATGAAACAGTTCAAGCAGGGTCTGATATCAAGAAATCAACCCCAGATAAAACCCACGGGTCTGAGATTCTATGGTCCAAAAGGTTCCTCATTTCTAAGGTCAGATAAGGTTTGAGATGTAAAGATCCTAAAAAATATCAATATTTTGTAAAACAAACATGACAGCCTATGGGATATCAAAAATGATAGATCATATAGATATGATATTAAGAAATCGACCCCAGATAGAATCCATGAGCCTGAGATTGTATGGTCCAAAAGGTTCCCCATGTCCAAGGTCAGAAAAGATTTGGGATATAAAGATCCTAAAGATTAAACATTTTATATAACAAGATAACAGTCTATGGGATATCAATGATGATAGATTGGATGTCAAGAAATCAACACCAGATAAAATCATATAAAATCCACGAGTCTGAGATTATATGGTCCAAAAGGTTCCCCATTTCCAAGGTTAGATAAGGTTTGAGATGTAAAGATTGTAAAGAATGTAAAGATTTGTCCCCTATTTGTGCCAATTACATTCTATAGTTTTGCGGAAGTGATTTGAAGAAACAAATCTGGGTTCGTGAAAACAGATGCGCAGAGTTGAAATCCCAAGGTCTAAGCTTTTTCTTTTCGGATGTTTCAGCAAGTGCTTGCCTAGGCCCTTCCTGGAAACTTCAACAGGTATAAATGAATTTCTGAATCATTCTGAATCTGCGGCTTTTGGAAGATTTGGATGAGCTGGGAAACTTTTTTTTCGATGAGCATATCCAAGCATCATGAAGATCATTGTGGATCATAACCTGCAAAGATCTCACATTTTTCAAAAATTGACTCGGCCGAATAGACCTCAAACCCTTGGATTTTATCTGCCTGATATCTCTCTACAAACCAAGTGGGGTGGTATAATTTTTTGGTCTCGAGCCCGAATTTTCGCCTATGCAGGACCTCATGCCCAAATTTTATCCAGCCTTGTTTTGGGGTAGGTTCGGAGTTTTAGCTGGCTAAAATCGAGGCATGAGACTAAAAGGCACAAGCAACGGGGATCTATTGGTAAACCCGCTATAAATTCTAGTTGATATCCTCATTCCCCCAGGAACAATCAGAACATCGGTGTCAAGTGACTATCCCATGCGAGAGCAAAGAGATGATGGAGGAGCTGGTCAAGCAACTGGAATTTTGGGGTGGCTTGGAGAAACTTCTTGTCCAATCAAAATTGGACACAGTTCAGTGTTTTTAGGTCTGACTTCACAATGTCTGGTTCCAACACATAGAGGTTCTTCTTTGGGCAAGTAACGTGGAATCTTGAGGTGTTATTTGCATTACGGGCGTTGAGAAGTCTTGGTTGTAATTGGGTTACAAATTATGGTGGTATTCAGTGTCTGATGTGTTTTCGATGCATCTCAATTGCGGAGACCTGTTTTTAAAGCGGATTACTATTTGATTCGGTTTCGATTCTGATTCTGCGGCCAGACTCTCAGGCACCATCGAAGGTCGCTTTTTGGATGAAGAGAACAAGGTGCTGAAAATTCGGTTTCAAAGGGCCGTGCCAAAGCGTGTGTGGCTGGGATGCCTAAGGTTAGCTGGGCATAGAACTTGAAGCTGAGAGCGGCTTGAGTCGGGCATGGAAAAAAGCTGGCCTGGAGTGGCTGGAGAGATTCCGAATATTTCATGAAGGGCCCCAATGGAAGGCAAATAGCTGTATCAGCAGAGGCAAGGGGTACGGTCATATTATACCAGAAGGTCCCTGCCACATATATATATATATTAATATCGGTATAGTATCAGTATCATTAAGAGCTTCGGTTTTGAGTCCATTCCGCAGCAGTTGAACACGAACGTTATTAGGGGGCTTGTGAAACGTGCACAACTGCTCTGGAACGTGCGCAACTCCTATGAAACGTGCGCAACTTCTATGATTTATATAAGTTCTCAAACACTGCAAAAAGCTCTTAACGATACTATACCCATTAATATATATATATACATATATTAATATATATATTAATATACATTTAAAAAAAAATATATTAATATACAGTATATATACATAATCATGATGATTCCCTGGTCGAGGTCCTGGTGGAAGTGCTGGACATTGTGGTGGTGGCAGTCACTGTGGCCGTTGAAAAAGTTCTGGTTGCAGTAGTGGTGCTAGTTGCAGAGATTGTCGTCGTGTGGGTAGATCTGGTTGAAGTAGATGTAGTTGAAGTAGATGCAGTTGAAGTAGCCTGGCTTCAGAGCAAGACTTTAACCTTATCCATCTTATCCCACTGATCCTTGTGTGCAAATGCCAACATCAATAACGATAAGGGTGCCAATAATTCACTCACCACCAAGCTTTGGCAATCCTTCTCAAAGACAACAAGTTACGCCAAGTGTGATTATTTGCAGACCAAGTTCTGTTTTCGTATAGCTTTCTTCTATGCAGTGTGCGAGCAGCATGTCGCAAGTAATCACCACCTCAATTGCCAAGTGCAAGGGCTGCACACTAGACCACGAGGCCGTACACTCGGCGGTACACTAGGCTGTACCTTTGCTAGTTCGTTCCAAGATGGCCAAACCTTGTGCACTGATGAAACCGATGAAACCTGCAAAAGCTCAAACACGAGAACCTCAAAATTACCACTAGCATCCAGTAGCACACCTGCCATGGAAACCCCAATGAGTGCCGCACAACTGCTGTTGAGCAGTCCTCGGGGGCAATCCTACTTCAAGCGCTGGCAATATCCGGCAATACTAACTAAATTGCTTCAAGTCATTGGCCCTGAAAGCGGGGTATTGTCACCAAGCCGAATTTGCAAGGTCGGCCCAGAAATAGACGAGTCTTCGGCACAAAACGTACAAATCATAAACATAGCACATATCCACATGGAGTTCACACAATTTATGTGGGGTCATGCGGGCGCTGTATGTCATGTGGCATGTGCGTTTGAAAACCCAGAGCTGTGACATGCTGAAGTTACTGCAAACCCTGTTTCAAACCAGCTTCTCGGATGATGATCGTCTGGTTTGCTTCTTGCCTGGAATGAAAGCAGGCTGCACACTTGCAACAACCACCCGGGAAAATTGCTGTTGCAATTGTTACTGTATTTAGTCGGTGTATCTGTGCAATATACATACATAATATATATATATATATATGATTATTATATATGCATGTGTGTGTGTTTTGATTTATATGCATACCTGCCAGGACAACAATTTGCCTGGTCGTGATCAAGCAATCCTCCGCTCTGGTGCATCCAATCCTCGGTTCACCATGTGGGTACCCTCGCTTCAGGCACCTTCTAAATATATACGAGCGAAGGGTTTAAGTCACATCAGTTGGGCAGAAGTCACATCAACCCCATGTAACAGCGAGTTGGAAGAAAGTCACGTCAACTGGGCAAAAGTCACATCAAAATATCAAAATCCCAATGGCACACCGGCTTTCAAGGAATGTTGTTATATCTCCAAAAATGAAGAAAACATTGCGCACACTGAGGTATTCACATATGTTTAAACTATGTTTTCAAAGGATATATTTAGGAATCTCCATGGCACACGGCCTCCCAGATCTTTAACTTTGTTTCCTAACAAACATAGATTTCCATGTAATAGCTATGGGCAACATCATCATATCAACAACGTT